GGGAGTGCGATCTGCCGCGATCGTTCTGAGTCTGCTTGGAAGGACTTTGGGAAGGCCTTGTAAGACGAGCACCCATAGCCAGTCCCTCAAAAAAAGCTTTGCAGACATCGGGACGATCGGCGTAGTTGGGTATCGAGGACCCAACGTACTTCTGAAGCATGATCAGAAGCTTGAGCCGATCACTCTCGTCGGTAGTGCGCCTCACGACCATATCCAAGCTACCTGGCTCGCCAACCGGATCTCTCTTGACTGCGGCCGAGCTTCGGCGAGTGTTACTCTGGCGAGTCTGGCGAGAGGTGTTCTGGTGAGAGTTGCTTGTTGATGTGGCTGAGGACCCATTGGTATGGTTGGCCGTAGAGGCCTTGGAAGACCCGGAAGGGCGGGAACAGAGCTCCAGTTTTCTCCAAAGCTCTGAATCATTCAGCGCCTTAGCTGCAACTGCGGCCTTTGCCGGTTGCTCTCCATCATGCAAACCGTCATTCTTGACTATGATGTCTTTGAGCTTAACGTCGTAACTGCACTTGCCGCGCAAACTTCCCGACAAAACCCATTCAGGGTTAAATCCAAGCGACTGACATCTCAATGACAGTTTCTTCTTAGCGTCTGGGTCATGGGAGGTTGAAACCCTCGGCGGCAGAGATACCTGAGGCTGATCCTTCTTCGGCCCCTTCGGAATGTTACCAACTGGAGGGTTGGTAGAGAGGCGGCTCGCGGTGAAACTGCGGATTTGGAAGGTCTGGTCACTTGCATAACCAGGGGGTCCAACAGGAGGTTTGACTACTGCAGCCGTGGCTACCTTCGTCTTCGTCATGCCGGGGGCTTGCGATCTCCCAAAGCCCCCGTGCATATCGTCCTTCACACGCTCCTGGCTCTGTGAGAAGAAGGTATTGCCAGCATGGGATCGGAACACTGGCTGAGGACCCGCCCAGCTTCCCGCCCAGCTTCCCGGGACAAGCGGAGTCTTTGTACCCACCAAAGGATTGGCCAAAACGGCGTTCTTGAACCGATCCTGAGGTGTTCCCGGCGCGGGCTTTGGCCCGGTTGGGATCTGTGAATGGAGGAGAGAAGACATGGGTTTTCTGATGCCCGATGGCTCTTTGACGATTTCAACGTTAGGGGACGCAGAGCGAATGGCCAAACCCCCTTTGCGGCCGGGATTCAACGGCGAACTGCTGGCGGCGGGGGTGGAAGCAATTTCACCTGGCTCTGAGACCCTTTAGTACTTTGAGCGCCAAAAGAAAGCAAGGTATAAACGGAAGGAGGTAACAAACCAAGCTCGCTGCTGGACCCACGGTCCGGGGAGCGCAGGGTAGTGAAGCTTTGGGACGTTTGGGCATCTACTGTGGTTGTTAACCAAAGGACTAAAGGAAATGAGCTAGAGTGAGGAAGCCGAGGAACATGTCGTACCGGTTCTCTCCCTCCTGACCGACAACAGCGACGTCTCATTGCCGCTGCGACTGGTCGAGAGTGGGTAAGGCGCAGGCAGCTGAGCCAGCAGCTTGTCGATTAGGTCGTCTTCTGGCATCTCCATGATGGTTTCTGTCGCGTCTCTGTGTTGTCTCGCCAGCAATAAAGCTGTCGATGTTAAAACAAAGGTGACAAGATGGTGATCGCAAACGATGTACCAAGAAGAAACCGCCTCGACTCTGGAGGCAAGGCGGGGGAAAAGAAAGATTCCCGTCAAAGACCGGGCCCGGTGGAGATTGGGAAAGTGCTGCCGTTCTGCCGCTGCCCTCTGAAGGAATAGGTGGCGCTGGCGCGCAAGGAAGGTACGAGGGGTGACCGGACAATGAAAGACCGGACGGGAGTCAGGCAGGAAAGCGGGACCGGGTATGAAATCAACACGGCGGAATCAGGAGTGACTGTATCGTGACTTCTGCCTATGGATCGATCCAGCCCATCTGCAGGCACTGAACGAGACAAACAGATTAAGCCAAGCCCACGAAACTAAGGATGAAACCAATGCACCTCTTCGGAACGGATGGGGAAGAATCAAGTGATTGATTTAGTAACATCATCAACCCGTATCGTTAAACCATTCTCGAAGTGAACTCCGTGCTTCCTGCTCTCCTCGCGCCGTGACTCGATGGCAAACCTCGTCCGGATTTCACAATACATTACCGCCCTCCAATTTCAAGAATCACTTGAGGCATCTTACACGATGCTCTTGTATTGGGAAGCATGAGATGCGAAAGAATTCGCAATTTCCATCGGTAGACACTTGCCCACGACGTCTTTCTTACCCATCAGAAGCTCCCTGTCTTGACCTCAACAACACATTCATGTTATCATTCTCTTCCGCAGATGCTCAAGACAACAAATGCCTTATGATTCAGATCACCCATCCTCTTCATCTCGAGTGTCACGGTCTTACTGGAGCGTGTAATCGATAGCGGCAACATCTTCCCAGACCAAACCCAAAGCGCCATTGCTGTCAGAGGGCATGTGAAGAGATCAACCAAGCTTGAAATAGTGATTAGATTATCTAGTAGGTCAGGAAAGTATCAGCTATGAAGCATACATCGGTTTGGCGGGTCATGTAGTGGAAGGCAGGTTTTCAGATTCCAGAAGCAGGGGGCCTTCGCACTTGCTTCTGGGCCGCAATCGCTAGAGGCACCGGACATGGTAGATGTTCCCAAGGAAGAGAAACGGAGACGTCCGCGCGCAATGAGTGTCGGGTTTTTGATGCCATCGAATTTTCCATCTTGAAGATGTTGTCGTCGAGCTTAGATGTCTTGGCGGAGTGGAAGTTGACACTTGACAGATGAACAGTGCTTATGCATTCCATGTCAAGCGTCGGTTCCTGCACCGATTGGCTAATCCGCGTCCGAAGTGGGGCCGCTGCGGTCCGTGAGGCATCAGTTCCATTGCTCTGATGCTGTGTTCTAGAATGTGACGGGAGGGGATATGGTCCAGATGAGAAACTAAGTTACATGTTGGACACCGAGTAATTTCAAACTGGAACACAGACTTCAAGATAATAAAAATGTATCCCTTGAGTTTGGACTTACTCTTCCGTCCTTCGGAGAACTATCCCCTACGGCTGCCTCAGCTGTCCCATGACTACCGACAATGATCAGTCATGGCGGACTACCTTCAAGTAGACGACATAAAGACCCTGAGCCATACAGTAGAGTTATACTTGACGAAATATCTCGGATAAACGGCACAAGAGAGACATATTGTTGGTTTGGAGAAGATCAATGGTGATTCATCAGCAATCATCAATCCGTGACGTCATTGAGTTGAAGCTATCATCTTAGTACTTACACTTATCAACACCGACACTCCGCTGTTCTTCTCGAAGCACTCAAAAACAACAAAGCAAAAGTCTCAGATTATCTTGAGCTTACTCATTTGATCACTGTATTTGTAACTGGGGCTCACATTATCGATCAGCTCATCATGTCTTCAGCAATCGTCCTCGGTGCGACCGGTAAGTCATCCACACATTTATCAACTATGGTCAACCCCTAAACTCACCACTCTTCTCCCCCAGGAATCAACGGACGCGAGATAGTCAAAGAGCTATCGTCCAACCCCTCGCAATGGAAAACCATCCACGCCCTCTCCCGCTCCAAAAAGGAGGACTTCGGCTCCAATGTCCAACACCACCACATAGACCTGCTCAACTCGGCCCAAGACATGGCCAAGGACCTCTCCGCCATCCGCGATCTGTCCGCCATCGAGTACGTCTTCTTCTCCGCCTACCTACAAAAGGACACGGAGCAGGAGAACACGGATGTCAACGGCACCATGCTCCAGAGCTTCCTGGAAGCTCTCGAGATCACGGGCGCCGTGTCCAACCTCAAGCGCATCGTTTTGGTCACGGGATGCAAGCAATACGGCGTGCACCTGGGCCAGCCCAAGAACCCGATGCTCGAGTCCGACCCTTGGCTGCGCGACGAAAGCAAGTGGCCATCTAACTTTTACTATCGGCAGCAGGACATCCTCAAGTCCTTCTGCGGCGGTGCGGATGTTAAGCACCCAAACATCAGCTGGACAGTAACCTACCCCAACGACGTCATTGGTTTCGCCAACGGGAACTTCATGAACCTCGCTTCCGGGCTGGGCATCTACGCGGCTGTGAACAAGGAGCTTGGTCGGGACTTGGAGTTCCCTGGATCAGAGACGTTCTACACCAAGTTCGATTCGTTCACGTCCAGCAAGCTGCACGCGCAATTTTGCGTGTGGGCGGCGTTGGAGCCCAAGGCCGCGAACCAGGCGTTCAATGTGGTCAATGGCGACGTGCAGAGCTGGCAGGACTTGTGGCCGAGAGTGGCGCAGCGGTTCGGCATGAAGGTCAAGGCGGACCAGTTCGCTTCTCCTCCCGCCGGAGGCCTGGCGAATAAGGTCCAGTTGACCGAGAAGGCACCGCAGCCTGTGACAATCCTGGCGAAGGAGTGCGGGTTGGAAGGGACGAAGAAGTCGGTTCCGCCGAGTCAGCTGGAGCAGAGGATCAGTTTGGCCAAGTGGGCGCAACAGGAAGATGTGAAGGAGACGTGGAATAAGCTGGCCGAGAGGGAAGCACTGCAGAAGGACTCGCTGGAGAAGGCGACGTGGGCGTTTATTGACTTTGTGTTGGGGCGGAGCTATGATTTGGTGGTTAGTATGAGCAAGGCGAGGGAGGCTGGGTGGACTGGGTACGTGGATACGTGGAAATCGCTGTCGGATGTTTTTGGTGAGCTTGAGGCGGCAGCTATTCTCCCCAAGACTCACTAGGCCAATGCTGGGCCATGCCTTATATAGAAGAATCTGGAGATAATGAATGGAATTAAGGAAGCCAACTTGTTTACCCTCTTGGTATAAATAACCATGTCGACTAGAGCAAGCAGGAAATTAAATCCGGACGTAGAAACATACCGCGAACACTCCGTTTGATAGCACCAGTTAGCTGCATGTTTCGTGAAATTTGAGTGCCGTTGAGAAATAGAGCACCGTTTGGTTTGATGTTAGGCAAATGCATTTCACCGAGTTCGTACTCTGGATAGGTATGTACACCAGGAATTGGTTAAGATAGGGTATCTTCCATCATCCTTGGTCTTCTCTCTTTCTTACTCCGTCCTCAATCCGTTCATAACACCCTTTCGTGACCTCCACCTTATCCTCATTAACAACTATCGCGGAATCATCGCAAAACACCAATCATCTGGCTCCTCCCTGGCAGTCCCCAAATTACCCTTCAACCAGCACCGATGCTTGTTACCCTTATCACCATCCAGATAGCCCCAAGAGCAGCCGGTACACCTCTCCATGGCCGCGCAGGCATCGATACACTCGGCCATATTGCCCGAGAGAAAGTTTCCGAGGTCATCGGCGGTATAGTCCACTCCGCAAAGGCGCAGAAAGCTTTTTGCTAACCCGGGGATTCGGTGCATGGTGTTGTTGGCGGCGGGACAGTCGGAATAGGCTGTTGGTCTTGGTTTGCTGTTCGATGAGGAGGTGGTGCTAGTTGGGGCGGTCGTTGCGGTTGAGGCTGGTGTTTGAGAATGACTGGGAATGGCCGAGGAATTGGGAGATGGTTCGGGGCTGCTTGATAGCGGAAGGGTAGTTTGTGAGCTATTTGCCAATGTTAGCAGATGTCAAGGCAAAGCAGTGACTCGGATAATTATCTCGTACCTTGATGGCCTAGGTTCTATTGCGGTGGACTTTGACGACTTCGATAACCCAACACCAAGGCCCACACCCAGGGGCAGCACGATAACAAGCAGTATAACTGCAATAAGAATTGCCCACAGCACGCCTCTTCTTAAGCCCCATCTTTGTTGATATTTGCCCATACAGCCTCGGGATTCTTCAGCCGGCGGAAGACTGCCGCCAACCGTAGACCGAGAGGCCGCATAACTTCCGGCTACCGTTCCACCTGCAGCAGCTCGTTCAGCCGCAAGTCCCTTCTCATGCCCATCGTTGTACTCTGGTGGTGTCGGTGTCCCTTCACGAAAAAAGGTATACTGCGCGTCGTCTGGGTTGTTGCTTATTATAGTGTTCCTTCGATCATCTTCCCGGTCGTCATCTGCCCAGTACACATCGGGCGCCTTCCCATGTGTTGGTGAGGTCCGCGGAGATGATCGTCTTGGCTGAGGTTGGTATATATGGTGTGTGGGTTGTTCCTCTGTAAAGCGAACGCCGCGGGTTTGGTCTCTGGCTTGGGACGAAGACGATTCCGGAAGATGCGACGGATCCATTGGAATCGCTCTGGGGCTCTAGGGTTTGTGGTGGGTGGGCTATGAAAACCCTGAGGCCATCTCGCTCGCTTGTTGCCGTCTTTGAATGTCTCGTCTGTTGCCGTAGGAGGATCGGCGCCTATGATGATCTTGAGATGATGATGCTGTTGAAAAGTGTTGTCGTCGGTATCGTTCGTTTTGCGCCGTAGCGCGTAAGCTGAAGAAGAAAGAAGAGAAGGAGAGAATCACACAAGGTCCATCCGAAACGACAGACAAAACATCACTTGATGAGCACGGTTCTTGTCAATCTTCTGGAACAGGCGTTCACCAAGGCCTACCCCGAAGTTCCATTCCCTGTCCGCCGCAATCTTGCGAAATTGCATCGCGACTTTTACGCTTTGACCCTTTGCCCGATCGGGAGTGGTTTATTGCCAAGGTGACATCGCATGTGGGCTCTCTCTTCCTTCTTGCCCTTTGCCGGCGCCGCCATACTCCTTTGCTGTGCATTTGACCGATTTCAGCCTTCTCAAATCTCGACAATGAGACGGTATACGATGGGCATGTAAATACCTATAGCAGATGTGCTATAACACATATCAGTGTGTCGTCTGATCGGGCGGTGCTTTCTTCAGAGGGGAGCTGAGCGTCGAGGCATGTGTCCTAGACCATTAATGCAACTGACAACGGCGATGTGGATGTGATGTATGAGTTTTCCAGATCTGCGAAAGAAAATGAGCACAGCGGAGTAGACTTCGGTCAAAGCGTCAGGGTATCTGAAATTCCGGTCGCCATTATCTCTCATAAAGAAATTATGAAGATAAATGGCCGAGAAAAGAAAAAAGGCCCTGCGCGCGCCATGAGAGCAAAATCGGTCCCAAAATCGGCTGATGGTGACAAACCTGGTATCATGTATGGGCGTGCAGGAGAATGCCAGCAATGGAAAATGAGTATATGTAAAAGATGACGAAATACCAAGCGCTGTTGGCATGGTCTGGCCATCACTCCTCGGTCGTCGGTGGCTTCGACCCCGTGAGACGGTTTGGATCCATGGGTTTTTCTGGATGTTTAGTGGACTCCGTTTCAGATGCCTTCTCTTCCGATGCTTCCTCCGACAGCTTCAAGCCTTCCAATGCTTCCGCAATGTCCGATGTCTGCTTAGATGCCTGAGGGCTTCCTGATAGTGAAATTTTTGGACTGCTTGGAGATCTAGAGGTTTCATCCCCTTTCTGCCAATACATGGTCGTGCTGGAGAAGATGTAGTTCATGTCGGGAAAAGGGTACTTGGTGTAAGTGGCATCCATCTTGGAGATGGGGCCAACAAATTCCTTGAGGCTAGGGTCAAAGTCGATGACCCTTTCCACTCATCCAAGCCGCCGCGCCGATGAAAGCAGTTGGAAGTGTCGCCAGAGCAAGGTGGTAAGTACGAAGCTCCATGTGGATACCATAGACCAAAGTTTGCTCATCAACCATGGGAAACGCATCTGGAGTGTCGACAACTTCAAACCCGAGTTCGACACAGAAGTCCCTGTCGATCTGGGTGAACATGGGCTCCTGAATGACACGTTTGATTTTGTGTTGACAATGAGATTCTGTCATACATCATCAGCAACTGGAAAGACTCCTATGGTCATAGCCCAATGAGATACCGACCTAGGAAGTCAACAATGGCACAAAAGGCCGCGGTCTGCATATGAGCTGTCCGCCTCGCCGCAAAACTGCCATTGCTAGGATCGTATGGACCAGGTCCGAAACAGATGGCTTTGGTGATATGAGGGCAACTGGACTCGGATAAAGCAGTGGCAAGCAGGTGCTCCAGGGTCGTCCAGCAATCCGAGATCTGCCACTCTTGCCGGGCCGTGTCGTGATGCTTGTGCATGTCGCTGACTGTGAATTCGGGGTTCGGATTTGGTCGGATTCCCAGTCCGTTCTCCTTGCTCTCATCCACCTCCGTCTTGGGTTTTGGCACATGCCGTATGCGCCCGCGTTTCCGGCTGACTTGACTCCATTCTCCGTCTTGTTGTGTCATTGTTCGAGTTTAAGTGGGATTGGTTGCAAACAATTGCGACTGCCAGTTGGCATCGGAATTCTGGTGAGGGACATGCGATAAGGTAGGGTTCTGTCTTATCGGCACACCGCCTGCCGTTTGGAGAGCTTTTGGAAGAGCTCCCCTGTGATGGATGGCCCGAGCTTCCTCCGGAGAAACAGCAGCCCAATGCACAGCGGGAAGCTCCTGTCATTCAGGGGCGCTTTGTTGCCGTTGTACTATGTAAAGCTCTTTCCCGTCGTTCCTTCTGCGATGTCATTCCTCTTCTGCCCCCAGAAGGCGCGACTCTGGTGAAACCCACACATGTATTTTCCTCTCTTCCTCGCACTTAAAAACAGGGGACGATTTCTGCCGGCAGCGATGGGTGGCTTACTCTCCCGTTACAACTGGCTTTTGGGCTGCCACTGCTGGGAAAGCTGACGCTGACGGTTGCACCACCACCCAAAAAAGCACCTCCAGATATCATCGCCGCTGCAAGTAATCATTAACTACCCTCCAACTTCTTCTAGAAGGCGTCACTTCGCAATATTGCGGACCGTTTGGGAGGAATAGAACACGGGGAAGGCGTAGCGCGCACGGGAGCAAATTGTTTCCCGATACAGACGGAACCTCTCTAACTGAGGGCTTCTGTTTATCACAGCGCTTCTCAATGGCTTCAACCGTTTCCAAAAGCGATGGCACACGGGTCATGGGCTCGTAAATGCGAGATTCAAGCACCCAAGAGCACTGCTGACCTTCATATCACAGTGGCATCAAGGTTCACAACGGCAGGGACAAATTGGAAATCAACCGCCAAGAACAGTTGCGGAGGTGACCATCAAGAGGCACTTCTGAGCTCTGATTGGTCGCTTCCCCGACTCTGGCGCTTAACTGTGAAAAAGAATTGGTTGGATCTTTGGACGACGGGGAAAATCCCAAGGGTTACCGCCAAGGGATCACACTGTAACGGCAGAGGGACATTCAGCGATCGACACTAGTGAGACCGAGCTGTGCCTTTCTCAGTTTGAGTGTCGTCCACAAGCCACGAGAAGAACGTGAATGGAGCCAGCTCAGACTTGATCCCATGGCTGACTTGCTGGAGGCTTTGATGCAAGTCCCACGATGCTCGATGCCATTGGAAACGGAGCATGGCAAAATCCGCTCGGCGAGGTGGTAGCGGCCGCTGGTCAAGTGTTGGTGATAGCGTGTGCAGCACCGGAGGACGAGGGTTCAATCACATTGGCCCGGTCTTTGACATGAGTTTGCTCCGTCCTAGCGAGTCGCCTGCAGCACCGAGGCGGGAACGGCGATCCCATTGGCTGGACACTCATCATTACTAACAGGGGCCTCGACCTCTTTTCAGCCGTTTTCCCCTGTCTTTCTCTTTTGCCATCGTGAGATTCTCACAACCTTGCGAGGGAAAGCGTGTGCCGGACTGGGGGCCACACCCACTGCGCAGGGGGGCAAGGCGGGACTCAACTCGCTCCCGTCACCCACACCACAAGGGCCCCAGTCCTGTGTGCCGATGGGCGATGGGTCTCTGTCTCTTCGACAAGGCCTGGGCGGCTGCGGCCTGGCGGGATAGGGAACACAGGATGGGTTCGCATTGGTTCACTCCGTGAAATATACCTACCTGCCATGGCCCGGCTAGTCACTTCTTCGGTTTCTCTCCGAAATCCTTTCTCTCTCATCAGCCAAAAGCTCTTTCTATGTCAGTTCAAGTATCTGACTGAGACATCCATCAACCTCAACTTCAATCTCGAAAGGATCCCGAGTATCATCACCAGCATACGCCTACCTATACATATCACAGGTCACATACCTTCGGTCAGCACCTATTCAGTCGACAAGGTCACGAAAAGCTAGCTCAGGAAACTTGAAAGAAGAGGAGGACTCGACTTGGGATTCGCAAGGGAGGGATACGCAAAGGCTTCGGTCACTCACAGCGTCGATCGATCTTATATACACACATCACCATCCAACATGCTCACATCAACACTCCTTGCCCTCGCCAGCGCGGCGCTGGCTTCCGCCCACACTGTCATCACATACCCTGGATGGAGAGGCAACAACCTAAAAGACAATGATGAGTTCCCCTATGGCATGCAATGGACATATCCTTGTAAGTTCTCTATCAGTCCATCAGTCCATATATACTCCTCAAACATCATCCATCACCAGCCTCCATCCAAATCTCACGACTCATTAAGCTAACCATAACTCAAAACACAGGCGGCGGCCTCCACCTCACCCAAAACCGCACCTACTGGCCCACAACAGGCGGCGCCATCTCCTTCCAACCAGGCTGGTTCCAAGGCCACGCGACAGCTTTCATTTATGTCAACCTCGGCGTCGACACTGATGGTCCGGACGGCGGACCCAAGAACATGAGTTTCCCCATGGTCCCTCCCTTCCAGATTATCGGCCCCGGAAAGAACCCGTACCCAGGCACTTTCTGCCTGCCGCAGGTGTCAGTGCCCACGGGCTTTGAGTTCAAGGAGGGCGATAATGCGACGATTCAGCTGGTTGAGTTGGCGATTCATGGTGCTGCTTTGTACTCGGTATGTTTTTATTTTCTTATTTTCTTAACTACTATGTCCATCCTTTGCCGAGATACTAACACGAACGAACAGTGCGTCGACATCACATTCGTTCCCCCCGGTGATCCACGCGTCGCCCAAGTCAACGAGTCCAACTGCTTCAACAGCACCGACCTTGGCGCCGCCGATTTGTACACCCTCAAGGTCCTCGAGCCCGGCCGCGACAAATTGGCGCTCGTCAGCGCTGCTTCTTCTGTTGCCAAGTTGGCTGGTTGGATCCCGCTTGTTGCTGGTGGGTTGTGGATGATGCTATAAGCTGCAGTGTCCTCTGGAAAAGGAAACATCAATTCGACTCGGTTTGATGGATGTGTTCGGATGGGGAAACGAATCGGGGCATGTGGTTTGATGAAAGGATGACCAAAATCGATAAGACGGTAATGGATAATGGGGGGAAAGATAACAACGTTTGTTCTGTGGGCTATTATGCCTGAAACTACAACAACGAGAGGTGCAGTGTATTTTGGGTACGATATGTCCCGCTAGGCGTTTATTGGAAGGACGGATGGACTGGAAATTTCTGTTACAATTATTCCCCAGCGCGAGCGATGGCAGGGCGCGCGCGCGTTTTCGCTTCTTTGATTCTGTCGAATTTTGTATATACCTCTTTTTTTCTATACCTCTTTCTTTCTGGTGTCCTCGCGAAAACCAGATGAACGAATATTTGAACAAACCTGTTACGAACGAACCATCGACGTGTTCATGAGAACTTTTTGCAAATGCAAGGCTCAGCTTTGATTCATCATACCAGCGTCACAACGGACTTTGTTTCTCAGCTTCTGGATTGGCCACTGTTGATGTCTCTTCACAAGGGCTTTCATCACATGTTTCACTCAATCATTTGTCTCATCGGTCGCATCGGATGATCGGTTCGGTAGCAGCCGGGCGCCTACTCGAACATGATATCGGGAGATGCTGCAACCGCTTTCACCATACATGTGGCAGTCTAAGAAAGAACATGTTGACGAGAAGCCCCGACATTGTGATTAAAAGTTCAAGGTCATCTGTATTTTACTAAATTTGTTAAGCTCTATACCGGCTAGGCTCACTGCTGGTGCCATATGATAACTGCATCAATCGTCTTCCAGAAACCCTTTTCTCCTCAATATCCCTTGCTATAGTGATATGAGCATCACAAATCAATTTCCTTCACCAGTCCATGGACTCGTCAATGAGCCCTTACGCCCGAATATACGCGAGGCACTCCTGAGCAACGTCCTTGAGGCGCTGCTCCGGAGTCTGCCCGATCACCTCCCTCAACCAAGCATCAACTCCCTGCTTCTTTGCCTCCGCTACCGGCTGTTCGCCGATAGAGAGAGCCATGCCGAGCGCCATGAGAGCGCGGAACAGGACTTCGGGGTCCTTCTGCTTACGGACAGTTGCCTCGACAATCATAATGAGGAGAGCAATTTCGTCCAGGTTCGCATCCACCTTCCTTTCCCTGTAGAATAGGCAAGCAAGGTTGAAAGCAGCTGAGGTCAGCGCAATCTGGAAGTTGTTGTTCTCGGCACCGATCACGCCCTTGTCCCCGTCGAGACCGACAACGTGGCCCATAAGGGAGAGGAGTTCACCAGCCTTGCTGGCTACAAGCTTCCGGCCGTCGTCAAGTTTGAAAAGGTTGACAATGGTACGGAGAGCCATCATGACGCTGTTAGCATTTGCCTTTGTTGCGTCAAGTTTATTGGCGACAAGGTCGCTCAGTGAGCCCTCTGCACTAACGGTGTCCTCCACATCAAGAGCTCCTCTGACCGCAATGTCGATGATGTCGCCATAGCGGTCGTCTGTGATGGAAGCCGCAGCGGGCCAGGCAGCGAGACAACGGAGAATATCTAGCGCTGGCAGCCTGTCGGCATACGGCCATTGAGTGATGATCGTGAGGAGGATAGTTTTCGATGCATCCAAGTTGGTCAACTTTCCGGCGGCAGAAGCAGGTTGAAGCAGCTGTTTGACAAGTCCCTCGAGAACCTCGACGCTGTCAGGGTTCATCGCGATATGCTTGTTCCCGGCCTGGATATGCTTGGTGTTGACCGTCTTGAGTCTAGCCAAAGCCGGCTCAAGCTTACTGTTGGTCAAACTGAGGAACTCGGTATGCGGCAAGTATTTGGGCTTAGCAGTTTGGCTGCTCTGGCCGGGGATATACCGAGCGTCGGTACCGTAAGGGTCGCTTGAGGGGGCATCGGCGGTCTGTCCTAAGGTGGCACCCTGAGTGTTTTGTGTGATGAAGTTGGCGACGTTGTCGAGATACGAGATTGGGAGTTCGTTATCACCAAGGAACTTGGTGGCTGCGTCGTACGGATTCATCGACAGGTTGTACGGGAGCTTGAGTGGTGGTTTACCATCCTCAATATCCACGTCAAAGACGTAGTCGTACTCCTTGCCCTGGTATGACACCTTTTTCCCACTGCTACCAGCAGAATCAACCACCGTTCCGACATGGATCCATTCTTGTTGGCCTGCGTAACATGTTAGCTTTTCTTATAGAGTAAGAGCAGACTGGTTGCACCTACCCATAGACCATTGGTATGCGCCAATGGTGCCATCCTCCTCCCTAATCATCTTGATCTGACCATCCTTAGCCCCGGTATTGATTTGCAGCCAGTCCTTGGTATCAAGCTTCTCCTTGTTGATATTAGAGGCGACCTGTTGCTGTGGGATTGCAGAGTTGCGGACGGACTCTTCAAACTGAGCGATGGTTTCGGCGTCCGCTGTCCGGTCAGCGCTCCGGGTGAAGACACGAACCATGTTGTCGCTGGCGCCGGACACAATATCGCCATTTTCGGGACAGACGGCAACAGCCCACACTGAGATGGCAGGGTGTGTGATAGTCTGGATGCATTCGGAGCCCCTCCAGATTCTCAAAGTGCGGTCTTCGCCAGAACTAACAATCTCGCCGGTAGGTAGGGCGGCAAGCGAGTAGATGAAGCTGTCGTGGCCTTGGAGATTTCCCACCGCTTTTCCTGACAGCTTCCACAGTCGAATGACGCTATCATTCCCGGCACTGGCAAAATCAGCACCGCTGGGGTGTCCCTTCAGACCCGTGGGGAGCTTGCACAGCGCGCGCACGACATCGCCGGTACTGAGGGTGCGTGAAGGATCGATTTCGAGGCTCGTAGCGCCCTTTAGGCGAAATATCCGTACGTTGTTGTCCGCGCTACCGGTAATAACGGTATCCGCGTCGTATGCGAGTACACTCCAGACACCCCTGTTGTCCATGTTATGGTTGAGCACATGGGCCATCTCCCAGGTAGCAGTGTTCCAAACGATCGCTTTGCCGTCCCAACTGCCAGAAACAAGCCATTTGCCATCAGGCGAGACGTCGAGTGTGCACACATTGTGGCCATGTCCAACTAGCAGTCGCTCGGCATTCATATCGTGTGTCGCATTCGGCTTCTTGACCTCGATGATGGGCTCGGCGCCGCCTGAAACGACCAGGCCATTGGAATATTCGCCAGAGGGTGGGATGAAGGTGAGAGAGTTGATGTAGGCATGACCTTGGCTAACGATGGTGTCGTCGAAGGGTGACTGGCTTGTCGCCTTGCGCCAAAGTCGGACAGTGTGGTCTCGGGAGGCAGAGAGGACGACGTTAGCTGCTGGGAAGTTAACTGCGCGAACCTGGGTGACGCAAGTGTTAGTTACCTAGCTTTGAATGACGGACCTCCTTGTCGGCGTACTAACATCGGATTCGTGGCCCTTTAGTTGGGCTGAGAGCTTGAAGTCCTGCACCATCTTTGTTGTTGTTTTTGTTGTTGACGGGACCTCGGCCGATGGTGATGGGGGAAGATGGGGGCGGGGCTCAGTAGTGGCGGCGAAGCGTGTTCCTTAAAGTCGACGATGGGAGGAGACGCAGGCGTTGGCGAGCTTCAGAAGGGCAGTATAAATCGTGGTTTCGAGCTCGAGCAGGTTGAAACCGAAAATTAGCAGGTGAATGGCAGACAACGAGACGCGCTTGATTTGTAAGAAAAGCCGAGGGTATACTAAGGTTGGGAAAATAGAAGGAATGGGAATTGGGTCGAAGTTCCGATGGCAGGAGCGGTCCTCAGCTTCGTCCATAGAGGTACGGACCTGACAGATGACGAACTGGAGTTGCGGATACCGCCCGTATCGATATTGACAAGGGGCGGTTGGCGGGGCACCGCTGTCCACTGCGCAGGTTGGACGTCGCATCTGGCAGGAGGTGGGGGAAGCTTGAGCCACTGGCGGGTTTGATACAGGGGAGGTTCGTCGGTCACACCTTTCCCGTCCCTGGTGCTCTCTGTTTACGGCAAACAATCAGGCGACTGAGCCTCAACTGCAATCACTTCCTTTTCATCTGGAAAGTCCAAGGCAACTACTCACGACCTTGGTCTCGTTCTCAGGGTATCAAAGACTTCAAGTACCTCTATTGTCGAGGTTCTCGGTTGTTTGTGGACGACTTCACTTCGAAGCTCGAGTTGGCTCCTTGGGTACCTATTATCACTGCCGATTCACCACTCGTGGCACCAAGCTTTGTAAGTTACGAGCACGTACTTAGAGGTATCACACCGCAGTCTATTTTATGTACTGCCTCTAGGTTAGGTAGGTGTACGGGATATGAACATTTGCACTTCTTCGACATCAAGGTACATCTCACTGGTGTCGTTGGTTCCTTCAGTTTCAACTTGTAAGGATAGATCCTTGGGCTATCGTCTCAATAGCACCTAACCCTGCCCGTTACCCCCACAAAGAAGAGGTCGCTTTGTAACTGCCCGGTGCTGGTGCCTGCCTGCCTGCCGGTGGCACTTTCAGCGGGCGGGCAGCCCATCCCTGGACTCCGCAGGGGCACCTGTGACGGTGGGTGCCACCAGTGCATCGCCCCGTTGCAGCCAGAGCAACGCCAGACTCATTCTTTCTCCTCTTTGCCTCTACGCAATCCCATCTTTACCTTACCTTACTCTTTTGACGGCGCCACGAGATACGACAACCACAACTCTGGCATAATCTCTCCATTTCTTTTCCGGTTAAACACTTGACGATTTTTGGGATCTCTCTCTTCATACGACCGTTACGCTTTCCATTCCTTTCAGTTGTCCGACTCTTCGACTCGACTTGCGAAATCTGACGATAGATTTGCCCCTCCTGGCTTTTCTCTACCACGCCGTCATCACCAACGTTTCTTCGATACCTCTACTCTAGGCCGCCTCTCCCCGCATACTCCTCACTAATTGACGGGACTCACCGTCTTCCTATCCTCTTCAAGGGCCGACCACCGTTCAGGTATCACATATCCTGCTTCAGTCCTTACATATCACGACGACATCACGATCCACAATGACCGAACCCACGCGCCGTCAGACTGTCCCCTTGACCTGCCATGGCCACTCGCGGCCTGTCACCCACTTGAGCTTCTCACCGCTCGAAAAGGAAGATTCCTACTACATGATCTCTTCCTGCAAAGGTACGCACAGGTCTTTCATGGCGTTTCCAACAAACACACCTGACCATGGTTACTGACGTGGCTCTTCCCTACAGATGGTAACCCAATGCTCCGCGACGGTCAAACTGGTGATTGGATTGGCACATTTCTAGGACACAAGGGAGCTACATGGCAGGCGAGGCTTAGCCCTGATGCGTCGACCGCTGCGACCTCTTCTGCCGACTTTAGCGCCAAGATTTGGGACACCCACACTGGCGAACTGCTCTTTGTCCTCCAGCACGCCCATATTGTCCGCGCCATTGCCTATCCTTACGATAACTCCGGGCTGCTGGCAACTGGTGGATACGAGAAGAAGCTTCGCATCTTTGACCTGGCGGATCAAAGGCCCGCTACTTCCCCATCAGGCACCACTCCCGAACCAGTCACGATTGATGCATCCAAGGCCTTCGAGATTGGTGAAGGGATACACAAAGACATCATCAAGTTTATCGTTTGGGCTCGTGACCCCAACGTAATCATTACTGCGTCTGGCGATACCCTCCGCTGGTTTGATCTCCCCTCTCGTCGCTGTGTACGGGAGGCGAAGCTGGAGGGCGAGATCAAGTCTTGCGAGCTGGTTTCCCTTGCGCCTTCGCACAGCGCCCCCACCGACATCGGCGGCGGCCTCCCTGTGCTTGCGGTAGCTGCGGGCAAGACTGCCTACTTTTGGGGTGGGAGTCGGGCTGAAGACGAGCTCAAGAGGATTACACTCCCACATGGCATTGCCAGTGTTGGGCTGGACCTGAAGGGCAGGAAGTTTGTTGTTGGCGAGGAGCCGGGTACTTGGGCTCGCGTCTATACCTGGGATGAGGGCAAGGAGATCGATGTACACAAGGGCCACCACGGCCCTATCTGGTCCATTGCATTTTCTCCCGACGGCAATCTGTACGCAACAGGGTCTGAGGATGGCACGATCAAGATGTGGAAGAATTGCGACGGCTATTACGGGCTCTGGCGTGGGGGTCTAGCTGGCAGTGGCACTGACTAGGAGAAGAAGCATCAACGCCCCGATTTTGACTCAGCGAAGGAGCACTCTTCCACACAGACGGCGAGTGTACTGAAGGATATCACTAACCACGGCGTTACTTCGGCTGATGTTCCTGATCTCCTCAGCTTTGCGGTTCCGGGCACATCGGCCGCGAATCCTCACTCTGATCTTCTGCTCAGCTATTCGCCAAACAAGTACGATAAGCCCCTGTCACCAGTCCGTCTGAGGCACTACGCCAATAAGGCATCTCCTCTCAGGTTTGAGATTGATGTCGAGTCGCCCTCTGATACCAATTCCGACCTTTTGCTCAGCTATTCGCCGAATAAGTACGATAAGCCCTTGTCGCCTGTTCGTGCGACCCGTCATACCAGACCGGCATCCAATTTTCGTTGAACTGTGCTCGACATCCGCTCGATCCACAGAGAAAGCGTACGTAACTTGGGTTAGGGTTGGTGGTTTCCGACACTGCTGTATTCTTTTCAACAGCTCCTGGATTGGCGAGGTCTTCTGAGAGTATAGCTGGTATCAAGGATACTCTGTTGCGCTAAGTATGCGAGGAGGCCATGCTTATAGACGGGGATGGACTCTTATATCAGCAGATAGACGGCCCCGTACAATGGGGTTTACGTGCGATTATCCTATCTTATACCATGCCGGTTATCATGCTTTGCTCATTTATGTTTACTAGATCAGAAATGAAGATGGTGAGGGGGCCATAATTCGTTGGCCTAGCCCACCCGAGGCTCAACTAGAACTTGAAAAATACCAAACAACCAGAAATTCACATCATTGTCCCATGTTTCCGTTGATGTGCAGTTTCACAAGAGGGGAGTTGTTTAGTGGCGAGTTTCACAGACACCTGATTGAGCAAATGACCAGTCGGCAAATTACATCATCCGACTGCCACACAAATTGTTTCCCATTGTCGTTTTATCGGAATGAATGAATGGTCATGCCACTGAACGGTTATTGCCAAAATTGGTATCCAATTTGACTCACTTGCCGATTTCGTGTAACACTTCATGGTGTGAAAACAAGAAGGTACCTAGCACCGGCCACACCTTCTCCAATAATTCACAGCCAGGATCTCTTTAAGAAAAGAAGGTCCCCCAACTCTTCTTCCATCCAAATTTTCGGAACAAACCAACCTACCTTTAATTGACACAACCTCCTCGTCGACATCCCAATCATTTCAATGCTATCATAGCATCTACCGAAAAACACAATTAACAAATCGTCAATTGCTCATTTTCTCACCATGGGTCACTCGTACAACAAGGCGGCCAAGGCCACAAACATCGAAAGTCCCGTGCAATGGACCGACCAAACCAAACACAAATATTGCGGCAAGATTGACAGCGGCCGGATTGGCAAGCCCAACAAGGCTCAAAAGTGCGACGCCTGCCTGCAAATCAAGGCCCACAGAGCGAAGGAATCCCAAAGAGACACCGACAACCGCCGACAAGACAAGATTGCCTGGTCCGCTTTTGGCTACGAGTGATTGAAACCTGACCACCAGGGAAGGCAAGCACTCCGTACCTTTGATACTCGGTACACGGCTGGTTGGGACATGTCGCTAATGTTTGATGGCACTCTAGTAATCATTGCGGGCTCGGAACAGCCCCAAACTACGGACGTCTCATGACACACGCATACGGCATTTGATAGATATTTAGACGAATTTACTCAATTTTCCTCTTCTTTTCCCCGACATCGCTCCCACTGAAGAGAAACAAGCTAGCGACGACGGACGGGTTGCACGATTACGATACACGATACACAAGATGGACGGCGTTTTTTTGTTTTTGTTTTTGGGTTCCATTGATAGCCTCTTGGCTGGTGAGAGCACTGGGTGTGGTGGCGTGAATGGGATTTCTTGTAAGACTTGCAACTACTTCTATGGAAGTCTTGACAATATGAAGTTAACAAACATTCTTATAGTTGTTGAGATAGCGAACCGGAGACATACACGGCAGAAGGCTACCATGGTCTCACACTCGACGAGAATTGGAGTTTTACCTAGACGTCCCGCTGGCTGTCAGTATCAGCTGGAAATACTGGAGGTTAGCCTGATGGATCATGCATACCGGGCTGAATGAATGAGGTTCGGCATTGGCAACGGGATAGCAGCAGCGAAAACGCATTTGTTCGTTTGGGTCTATAAATCAATCCTAAGAGCTGCGTCACTTTCCTCACAGAATTCATCGCGGAAATCAAAACAAACGTCATAATAATCACAAGTGTCCGAGGCGCTATGGGTTATCGGAAAAGGCTATGCCCGTGATGTTGAGATCAGGTTGTCTGACCGGGGGTTGTTCTCTGGGGCCACGCCCACAAGCCACTGCGATTATGTGCACACAAGACGCCTGTTGCATATAACCACAGCCTGGTAGTAGATGGCAGAGATCATAGGCCTTTGTTTATTACAACCAAAGAATCATTGAATCAATGCGTAGTGATCGTTCTAGGAAGTTGTTGCAACCGTGAAAAGAAAAGGAAGCATTCAGAAGGTGGATTATAGCTACAGAACAGCAACCACTTCACAACAACAAATCGGACCATATCAGTTCAATCGGGTATGGTGTAGCGGTAACATCGTTGACTCTCACTTCTAAGGAGTGACTGCTCTCTCAACAGCCCCGGGTTCGACTCCCGGTATCCGAGTCTCCAACATCCTTTTTTTTGTTGAATTTTCTTTTTCACGCTGGTGGGGTTATTGATGCATGTGATAGCCCCACAGGATTTTGTTTCGAGAACCCTTCTTTTTAAAAATAGTAGCACTTCCAACGGCCGAAAGTATGGAAACCCTAAAATGCCATGGATCAAAGACGTGAGGTCCCCAAAGGGCTTTATAGAATGTCATCAGACCTTTTCCAAACTTCTCGAACTGGTCATTGCGATGCTTGCACACTGATCGCTCCTACTATGTTAAGGTTCGACATGGTTAAGGATATCGATAAGCTCTTCTCCCCCATGATCCTTTATGACGTCAGATCCTCGTTGCCGTGCGGTCAGACTGACGACCAGCGTCGTCAACCTCCCCCTCCTTCCTCATAGCCATACTTAGTTTGAACGAACAGCAACCGCTCGGTTCTTCCTTTCTTTCTTCTTCTTCCTTCTCATCTCTTCCCTTATCATTCACCTCCACAACCCGAGAAAGCAATCCTAGGTAATGCCCACTGGCAACACCAGAAAAGTGGTCAAGAAACCAGGCGAAGAGAACAACGACAACCTCAGCGAGCAATCACCCACACCCATATCTCCTCCTCCTTCTCATTCCCATTCTCATTCCCAGAAATCCCAAAACCAACAAAACCAACAACCACAAGCAGCCAATATGGACGCCCTCAACAACCTAGGAGGCCAGGGAGGCTCCATCGACCCGCAAAAGACGACCAAGAAAGCCCAAGAAACCACGGGCGAAGCCGCCGATCAAGCCACCGGCATGGCCTCGGGCATCACTGACACCATCATGGGCGCCGCCAAGCCCGTCACCTCGACGCTCGGCAACACGATCAGCGGCTTGACCAACACGGTCGGCGGCACCGTTGGCGCGGCTACGAGGGGATTAGGAGAGACGGTCAATAGCGCGGTTCCCGGAGGCATGGGAAAACCCGTTGGAGATGCGGTGTCGAATATTGGGAGCGGAGTGGAGAGGGGCATGAAGGAGGTGGGGAAGGGCGTGAAGGATACGGGGGAGATGCGGAGGAGTGAGGAGTAAGTAAGGGTTTGCGTGATGCACTGGATGTGGATGTGGTTGTGGTTGTGGTTGTGGATGAAAGGGATGGCGGATGTTGTAAAGACAAATGGAAATTGAAAAACTGGCATGAAGTCCTTGGGTGTATGATACGGTGTTTTGGGAGGTTATGTCTGTTTTATGGAAGGGTTATGAATGGTTGCAAGGATATTGCGTCCGGTCTGAAGTGTTCGAGTTATCGGTTTTGGTTTCACCCTCGGTTGTTCACCTTTTCAAACATAATAACGGCAATGAGACATTGAGTGTTCACAAATGTCTCTTCAATTCTTTTCCCAACTGAATCATGAAACATAAATAACCCCAACGCCTCCTAATGACCATGCCTTTCTATCCAAAACCAACTTTTCTACCAACCAAACTTCTCAACCGCTATCCTCACATCCAACCCCTCCCCAATCACATCAGCACAAGTATTCCTCACCGTCCTATTCAGTCCATCCGGCCCGGACACTACCACCGCCGACTCCAGCCCATCGCTCGCCGCATCCAAGATCCACCCCTTCACAATCCCCGCCACATCCGGCCGCCCAGCTTCTTCCGTCGGCTCCGGAATCACCAAGTCCAGTCCCAGCGCAACTAGCTCATCAAACTGCTCCTGCGGAATCCAATCCCTGTGCGACCGCGAATGCGTCACCCAGAGCATGTGCACTCTTTGCTTTTGCCTGGTCAACGACCCCGAGCCGCTTCTCACGCTCAGCACCTTGTCTTCCTCATCGTCGTCCTCATCCACATCCACTCCTAGACTATCATCATCATCATCATCCTCCTTCCTCACATCTGATGGTACATCCTCCTCCGATCGTTGAAGCAAAGCCCAAACCAAAGGAAACGTAACCGCAATCCCACTGCCTCCCGCCACCAAGATGGCACTTCCCGACGCCCGAAGCATGTCCAGCGCGTGCGAAGAGCCGTAGGGCCCGTCTAGTTGCACGGACACGCGGGTATGGCCTGCTTGAGCGTGGCGGAGGAGGTCGGATGTGAATCCGGCGTAGGAGCGGATGAGGAGGTTGAACCATGCGTGAGTTGGTTGCTGCTCAGTAGAGGTAACGACGGGGGCGGCAGAAGCGATGGTGAACGGGTGGGCTTGTAAAGCGTGAGAGCCGCCTAGTGAAGGGACCGTGAGGAAGACGTGGTCGGTGGGGCTCCAGCCGTTGAGGATGGATTTGTTAGAGTTGAACTTCCACCAGGGTTGGTTGCCTCTGGAATGAGCAGAGGGGATGATGTCCCAATCAGCCGAAAGCAAATAAGTCTGCCCATCCTCCAGCACTTCGATATCGGCTATGACGGTCGCCCGCTTAAGGCGTAGCCGCCAGACCAGCCGATCCAACACAAAGATGAGCAGCGACAAACCGACATACGGCTGGCTGGTATAATAGTGAAACCAAAGAAACACGAGCGCAGCGATCTGAAGCACGACGTGCGACGCCAAAAAGAGCTCGTACCATCTCTGCCTGAAACTTCCCAAGGAAGTGAAGTAAAGCAGCTCATACGACACAAATGCGCCCAGACCGCAGAGAATCAAGGGGTGCGTGAAGTAGGCCCAGGCAGACTTGGACGCCAACATCCAGTCCTCCGCTAGCACGAACTGCCAGATGACCATGCTGGCGAAGTGCACAGCAGCCATGAAACACATCATCTCGCCGACGCGACGGTGGAAGATGTTGAGGGCTTCGTACGAGTAGCCTGTCAATACCCGGAGGGGCTGGTTCTTGGCGCTGAGCAGGTAGAGGAGCGGCAGGTTGACGATGAACATGAAGCCCATTTTGTCGCCGAAGACGAAAAAGAAGTCCCACCGGAGCGGAATCAAAAACATCTGGAATAAAACGTTCAACAGGATCCAGAAGGTGATGAAGAGCGAGGTGCCGTTGCTGGGGAGGGTGCGGTTGACGATGGGGATCGGTGGCGGTTGGCGGGCGAGCCAGGAGGAGATGGTGCTGGAGAGGGACGGCTTGCGGTCTAGACGGGTTGAGTTGATGGTGAGGCTGGATGTGCGACCCCAAAGGAGTGGTGAGCGTTCGAGATCAACTAGGTTGTCTTTCCAGTCGCCGCCGGTGGGCGTGGAGGTACCGGGACTGGATCGGCTGGATGATGCTGGCGAAGAGGATGTCTGTATCGTTCTTGTTGTCGTCGTTGCCGTCGTCTTCGCCGTCGTCTTTTGGGCTGAGTCTGACTTTGTCCCCCTTATCCTGGCCAACCACTGTCGGCGGTCATTTCTGGATTTACGCCAGTGCAAAATGGCGAAGACGGCGATGGTAAGGACAACGGCGATGTTGTAGCAGCCGGCGATGAAGCGTGCGTCGAAAATGGCCTGGACGAGCTTCAAGAGGTATTCGAGCTTATCTGGGGGGACCAGGTCAAGCGGATTACCCCCTTCTTCATTGCTGTTCATGACATCTCGGACTGCCAATATCGACGACGACGACGAGACAGAAGATACGGCGGATATGGCGTTGCGCAGAGCGTCACACGCCCATGCGGCCTTTTGCGCGTAGTCCATGAGCCGAGGAGGAACACCAGCTCAATGGTGTTTGTGATTTGGCGGACGGGATATGCAAAGGGACCTAACTGCAGTGTCACCGATGCAGAGATGGAGGTCCGATGAAAGATTAAGAAACGGGACAGGAACGACGGAACACCGGACGTGGGAGGCGAGGGCCATGAGGGGATCTTATCTGATCATCTGATATCTAGCGCACTTTTTAGCGTGAGCCTTTGTGTGGGGATGCTGTGGGGATGCTGTGGGGATGCTGTGGAGCCCCGTGAGCGAAACGCGTCTTGGCGTGCGTTAACCGCTGATTATCCCCCGCTGAACTTTGTTTCAGGGCCTTTTTTCAGGCGCTGGAAGCGCTACAGAAAAAGGGGTTGAATAAGGCTCAGATACGTCGGTGGTGAGAGAATATTCTGTGAAAGAAAACGTTAGAACGAACATCTCCTTTCCCCATTCTTAAATGCCGTCCTTCCGACTGTCCTTCAACGCCTTTGCTCTTCTCCATTCCAGACCTTGCTTCTCGATGAGCATGGAAAGCGGTAACCCCATCATCATGATGATGGCAAACACACCAAAACACCATCCGGAGTCAGCAGCATCTGCCAGCGGTTGTTGTGCCGCAATCGCAGCACCGGCTCCTAGGCATCGAACTAAGTTGTATGATGCCTGAACGGTAGCGGAAGCATTGGGGTTGAGGTCGGTCAGGAGCGTTCCGCAGAGCTGTCCAACAGGTCAGTCGAAGCATTTGGGGCGAGCTGGAGAAAACTTACCGTAAAGATGCTCGAGGTTGCGGCGCCGGTGAGGAACTGAAGGACGAGTGGCATTGCGAGGTGCTAAGGCAATGAAAAGGACGATTAGCTTGTGTTCTTTCAGACCCTGCTTGTCACCCCTTTCCTAACTTACTGCGCGCTCATTCAAGCTGACACCATAGGCAGCAGATCCAACCGAGGAGACGAGGATGAGGGTATAGATCCCCACAAATCGTGCCTTCTCGATAGCAAAGTCGGATATGTCCTCGCCCTTCTTGTATTGGCTCTCCCTGCCGGCTTGTGCAGAGGCAATCGTCAAGCTGGACCAGACCTCGAACGGGGCAGCAGAGGCATATCAGGCCTTAGAAATGGGCCATAAAAGCGGTTGGTGTCCAGGCCGGACTTGATGAAAGCAAACTGGGTTTTCCGACCTCACTGACACCGGCATCACGGGAAGTTCCCGACGTTACGGGCGGTTGGTACAAAGGGGGTGGTCGAGGAAGTCGCGGCCGAGTACCATAGTCTTTGCGTATAACCCAGACACTCCGATATGGGATCCGGGCCATTGCTCAAGACAAAAATTGTTGTAGCTGGTCCTCAGGAGTCGGTCTAGGCCATCAGATGTGGCCAACAAAGGTGATGAAAGTGTGTTTGCCTTTGGACACCAACAGAGAGACGGAAATGGTGCTGGGAGCAGTAAGCGACAACCAAGCCAATTGTTAGTATATGTATGGCCCTTGATACCCAAGGACTAACAGCTGAAAAGTATAGGCGAACAGGGCGTGCGGGGTACAGGGCAAAACCACTTATTGACGTGCATGAACACACCCAACATGCTTCCTTCCTCCCTGACATTGATTTCCTCCAACAACTCTCCCATTTACTTCTTGAAAGAACGAGGTCAGCAAGAAAACCATGCTGTAACAACACTACCTATGGACACGAGAGGACCACGGAAGCGACAAAATAATGACAGCAACGGGAGATCCTACCATGAAATATATCAACTTCTTTGGCACCTGACCGCCTTCATTCGACGTTGGCTTCCCACAGTACCTACCATAGACCGCGAGTGTCCATGCAGGGAAACGACCACAACCCCAACTGGGGTTCGACCCGAGCCGTCCAGCGATTGCTACAGTGCGGCTTCTTGAAGGGATACCGAACGGCTTGGCGGAGGCGACTATTGATTGAGAGGGTGCCGGATTGAGGGGACGCTGTGATGAATGGAGGCTGTTGGTGATGTGTAGCACGGTATCGGACCTCCAGGAGAGTACTAGCATGCACCGAGCACAGTTTTGGGCCATTCAACGAGACCAAGAGTACACTGTTCCAAGCCTATCGAAGCCAACATGTCAAACACCATCCTCGGAACTCCTACGGAACTCCTCACCGGCAACGTATCTTGCCTGATACAATGCCAGAAGCAACTTGTCTTCCTCATCTGACATCTCTCAACGAAAGGAATTGACAGCGAGGGACGTGTAACACCAAAATCATGAGGGATGGCGCGCAAGTTACAACCACAACGCTTGACCCGTCAGTTATAACAGGTACGCATCGCCAGAAATAGGCCGTTGGGAAAGGTCAAAGACACCCATCCGTGGTTCAACTAACCCGATATCAGCGCTTCCACCCAACAGCCACGTCGTGATAGTCAAAGAAATGGTTGGCAAGAGCTCTTGGGCAACAACATCGAAGATCACGATTCGCTTGCCGGATGGAACGAAAGCATACCTGTTCCAGAAGGTTGTCTGGCCCGCCACCCGATCTCTCTTCAGACGCTGACACAGCGATGAATAGGCAGCTTGCGGGAAGACAGCGGGAGCAATAATGAAGGGAAGCTTCGAAGACGACATGGGTCTCTTTGCCTTTATCCCGACACGCGTTCCCCGTCCGATTGCATCAGGGGCCTATGTCGACGTACCGAACACGCACTTCTACCTGTCTGAATTCATGAAAATGCGCGATAAAAAGCTCCCTTGCGCTTCCTCTTGGGCTGCTGCTGTATCTGATCTGCACCTGAACAGCATGGGCAGGTCACTGACTGGGAAGTTCGGTTTCCTAACTACAACAGATCTGGCCGATGTACCCGTTGACAACAGCTGGACTGCATCATGGGAGGGCTTCTGGACTCAGCAAATGAAGAGCCTGTTCAACCAAGAAGAGAGAGTCAATGGTCACGACAAGAAGGTGTCCGTCCTTCGGACAGCGTACCTAGAGAAGGTAATCCCAAGGTACTTGAGGCCTCTGGAAGCTGATGGAAGGTCTGTTACTCCTTGTCTCATCCACTCTGATCTATGGCCAGGAAACATCAAGCCACGGGCAGACACTGACGAGCTGTGCATGTTTGACGCTTGCGCTTATTGGGGCCATAATGAATGTACGTGGTCGATACTGCAGTTCTATGGATGAAGGAGCTGACAGACACCTAGCCGACCTAGCTGTCTGTAGGAACCCTCGCTACAAACTTGATTTTCCCTGTATATACGAGTATCAGAAACGGGTGCCTGTCTCGGAACCTGAGGCCGATTTCGACGCTAGAAACGCCGTATACGCCATCAAGTATCACGTTTTGCTGTCGGCCATACAAAGGAACAAGATATTTAGAGACGTCTTGATAGTTGAGCTACAGTCCTTGGTCGACCATCTTGATGATGAGACGGAATCGGACCATAATCAACTGTCACGTCTCTAACAGAAACGACTACATTCGAAATGGTTGCCAGCTACAACAGATATTGATCGACGAACAAAAACAAACCTTGTCACATTCATACTTAGTCTCTTACATACTCAGCCATGTCAATCGCAAAATTCGAACAGCCGGACGAACACTTTGCGGAAACAGCTGCAGATCTGTTGCAATCCAGACTTCGTCTTCGACGGTGTCGCCCCGTGCTTGGATCCGAATGTTTCTATTCTCGTTCCGACAAGACTTGTCTGGTGGTGATGAGTCGAGTCAGGGTCCAAATACCCGACAATCCAAGACGCTCGCTTGACCGGGTGTCATTGGTGGCAAACGTCAGCCACACCAACCATTGCTTCTCGTCCACTACAAGACCCCTGTACCGCCGGCAATTCAGACCATGACGCACGCCTGGCGCTTGACCAAGGGTCCATTGGAAGGGCCCATCCTTTGTCTCAGTTGTCGATCTTGAAACCATCAACCCAAAAGGTTGGCCTTTCCTTGTCACAAGTGGTCTACAGCATAACAACACGGGACATATTATGGCATTGTTGGCCTCGTGCAATGGTTAGGCGCCAGAAAAGGATAATCACTCACAAGGATGATGTCGGTGCTTGTTTTGAACACTCATTATCATTGCATATAATCCCGACAGTGTCTCCCAAAATGCGTCATGCTTCAATCTGACCGGCTTTTCCCCAACACAGTTCTGGTGATCACCGCAGTGTCAAGGTCCTTGGAGTGATTCATTTACTGGAGAGGGAAATCCAACGACACTACTGCTGAGCAGTTATATCACTTCATCCACAACGTTTTCCTTCAACGTCCGCTCTTTCACCGGAGACAACAAAAACAAAAGTATAGCCCATTATGTTGCGACATCCATCAACATTCGTACCCATTATAGCTTCCATAGTAGCCTTCGTGCTAGTCTTACTGGCCCTCATTGCCGGTTCTAGCAAAGGCTTCATGGAGAGCTACGACATCGTCACTGTAAGATAACCCTTGTACGTGTGGTCTTCCAGAGTGCTAACATTTTCTAGTTCAACACGTCGACTCTTGGACAGAACCTCATCAACAAGCAGCTCAGCGGTGATCAGTCTGGCTCAGCAGCCGACGGAGTATGCGAGAAGCTGGGTTTTCTTAGCAAGGCCTGCGAAGACGCTACTGGCGCCGTCGAAGACGCAAAAGACGACCTATTGAATACCCTAGGCGACATAGAGAACGACATTGCAAACCAGCTAGCAGAAAAGCTGGGCATCCATGAGTTCTACTCCATTCATGCGCGAACCGTCTGCGAGGGAGAGTACAGCCCTAACCCGACAGCCAAGGGTGCCGGTCGGACCGTCGCTAAGTGCATCAAGACCTTCCCAAACAGTAAGCGCCTCAGTTCCCGAGCCCGTACCTAGTTTACCAGCTTTCACTGACAAATTCACAGGCTTCAACGTATCCGACATCCTCGACAAAGAACTTCGCGTCGGCCCCTTCAAGCTCACCCTTGAAGACATTGGCTTCAACGACGAAGTCCAAAGCGCCTTCGACACACTCAACCGCGTCATCAAAGCCTTTGCCATCATTCTCATCGTCGACGTGGCTCTAACCGGTCTCTGCATGCTCACCTCCCTTCTCGCCATCTTCTTGCTCGGCAACAAGGAACGGCCAACACTCATCACCAACGCCATCCTCTCTAGCATAGCCTTCCTCCTAGTTCTTATCACCGGTATCCTCGCCACCGTTGGGTCCCGGATCGCCGCGTCAAAGGCGAACAAGTACGGAGAGGATATTGGCTTGAGCGCCAAGGCGGGAACCAAATATACCATTCTCATCTGGGTGGCGGTTGGGTTTTCGTTGATTACGTTTGTGGGGTGGGTGTTCCAGGCTTTGAGGTATAGGAATGGGAAGACGATGGGTCATAGTCGACATGCACATGGACAACATGGGCCGAGGAGTAAGGGAATTAGGGACTCTGAGGAGAGTGCGGCAAACTCGGAAAGGCCGGTTTGGAATAATGGGGGGATGCAGGAGGTGCAGTTTTCTAGGACGAGGTAGAGTGGGAGAGCATTAGCCAGACTCGGTTGCCTCTGCTGTGAGTTGAGAGGTCTTGGTTGATGAAGTTTGTCAAATACACGACGGGACACATACACTGGAGGATTATACCCATTGATATTAGCGGGCGTTTTGATTTCTTTCCTTTCTTTTGGCATGTAACGCTGTTCAATAGAGATGTCTGGTTCCACGGCAGAAAAAAATCTGGTCATTGGCAAATGTTGGTCAAGGAGTACCGAAGCAAGAAAGGAACTATCATTGAAAATCAGACTGCGAAAAACACGAGCCCCTCAAAGCTCATCCTTCACTCCTTCCCTATCCTGTTCCTCTTGTGCCTTCTCCTTATTCTCCTCCTGCACCCCATTCCCCTCGTCGTTTTTCTCCTCCACTTTCGCCTTCCTAACCTCCCAAGCCCAATGCTCCCTCGTCCTTTCCGCCAACTCTCTCATAGCCACCACATCCCCCGCTTCCTCACCCAACTCCATCGCCATCGCATCCGCCGCCAAGCCCGCATACTCTTTCGCCTTTCCTTCCACCCCAAACATGGCATAAATCAGCGCCGCCTTGGTGTACGCATGCCCTATATACGTCTGCAGTCTCTCCTCTCGATACAACTTTACCAATCGCTCACCCATTTCGGTGGTGAGATCCCCGCCGCCCACGGCCTTGTCAAGTTCCTCTTCCAAGTCTCTGATGGCCTGGATCCGCGCGTCGGAAGCGGCGATTTCCGAGGGAGAAGAGGAGCACAGAGAGCAAGTGCAGTTGAAACGCCAGTCTTGCAAGCGCTCCTGGCGCGAGTGAAGGGGGAGGAGGCCGTCGATGTAGGAGATTGTCAGTTCTTCGCCGGGAAGGATGGGGCGGACGGCGGTGGTGGTGTGGGTAATGTTTTCGATGCGGGAGTTGAGGCTTTCACGCCCGTTAGACCTTCACTGCTCGATACAGAAAAAGGAAACGGAAAAGAGGAAACTCACTTCGGTCTACAATCATGATTCAACCTGCTCACCTCCGGAAACACCCCGAGATGACCGGAATAGGGATTTTGTCCGTTGATGAACATCCGGAAAGCGTTTCGGTCGATCTTGGTGTATATGTCTTTGCCATACTGCGCCATGAAGAATTCCTGCCGAGCGGCGGACAGCTGGTTGACAGCATCTTGGTAGAAGGCTTCTCGGTCTGAGGCGGGGAGGTCGATGTGTGGCCCGAATTGGACGACTAATGAGGGAGTGTACTGCATTACTACTTCGCCTCGTTGGATGGTTCGGTTGGCAATTAGGCCGATTCCTTTACCGGGGATTTCATGAACTTCGAATGGAGGGGGCTCGGAGTTGGTCTTGGTGAGGGCGGAGAAAGAGTTGAGGATGTCGATGTTTCCGGGGTTGCTGATGAGGACGAGGCCATCGCCGATGGTGGGGTTGGCGAAGTTGCAGTATTCCTTGATGCAATGACCGACTCTCCATGGTGCTGGGACTTGGATATAATCAGCTGTTGTCTTGGTTTCTGATGCTGAGACGACTGCGGCGGATATGGCCGACCAGAGGGCAATGGACCGCATGATTGTGAACTTCGAGCTGGGTCATATTAGCATGATTTATGGGGTTCAGTGACCGAGACACTCACCGATCTTCCGTTCCAGACATGAAATGGAGTTGAAATTACTGAGTTGTTGAGTAGAATACTGACATGAGTTTATCAAACGGTAGTTTTGTACATATAAAAACTCCCTGTGTAAGCTCAAGCGCTGCTGGAGCAGTTCTAGACATGGAACGTGTTCACTCGACAACTTGACATTTGCCTAAAAGGGCCTGTCTTTGCCAAGTCCATTACCAAGGACCATAGATAGTGTTACCCATACGAACTAGTCTTGGGATGTGTCATTGGCCCGACATGTCTGGATTAGGGTCCGGTCCCAAAGGGGACGGGATTTACCTTGCCGTTCTGTAAAATGGAAGTCATTCTATCATGGCCATTGTACCCCTGACCCATCATCCGCCAACCCCTGAATTTTTAGTCCCTGATTACGATGAAGTAAAGAAAGAATAACCACCATTGTAAACGCTCCTGCTAGAGATAAATATGAAGAAGCTGTTGGTGCGGAATTTGGGTGGTAACTGCCCATTTTTGAGTGGTCAATCTAGTATAAAAGAGGAAACAGCCGTGGGAAAGAATAGAGTGCACGGGAAAGTTCGCCTTCCCTCCTTTTTAGGATCTTCCTGTGCAACTTTCCCATACAACTACCCGACTCACCCCTCATCCTCCCCGTTAGCGAACTCCATCACTGTCCCCAACACCGTCCCCGTCGTCGACGACACAGGTACCGGAGCCAGAGTCAACGGGCCCGGTGTCACCGTCGTCGTACTCATCCCCCTACTACTCCTCCCATTCCTCCCCTCCTTCCTCTCCATCCTCGCCCTCTCATGCCTCCACTTTACACCTCCCGGAACCGGCTCCCCACTCCGCCAACAATTCGCCTCCAAGTACTTCGTCAACGAAAACACAACTCACACCTATTCTCATCCGGCCGCTCGCAGTGTTCACAGCAATTATAGCCCACCACCTTCCTCTTCACATGGCTATCCTGCGCCGACGGGTGTTCTTTTAGTAAGTTCAGCTCCCAGTTCCCGCACTGGCAGCAGGACAGGAACCAATCATCGAATCGGCCCGGAAGCAAATTAAACCCTTCGAGAGTCTCGACCATGACGCGTTTGCTGTTGTACAGGACCGTGTCACGGGGAGCAAGGTAGCCACATCCCAAGTCGCAGACTTCCATAGAAATTGTCTCGCCGCCCGTGAAGTCGGCGGAGGAGACGGATGGTTCGAGTCGCAGGTGGGGGGCGCGCTCGACCCAGTGCGTTTTGGATTTGAAATAGGAACAGTCGTGGTACCAGTAGGCACCCTGGACGTCTTCGGAGCGCGGGGGAAGGGGGCGTAAAGGACCGCGGATGCCGGCTTTCCAGCGGTAGTTGGAGATGAGTGCCGCGACGCGAAGTTGGGGGCGTTCTTCGGGGTCTTCGTAGGATGGGGCTGGGGGAGCGGAACCGAGCTTGGCGGCGCGGAGGAAGGGGTTGTCGGGGATGATGAGCTCGGTGGAGGGGAGGGCGTAGTTTGGGATTATGGCCATTGTGGTGATGATGGTGTTGGGTGGTGATACAGGAGTAACAGAGGCTGAGGGTCAGAACCTCGAAGGATTGGAGCCTTCGGGTACAGCGCTTGTGAGTAGAGCCATGGTGTCTTTCTCCTCGTGGAAAGATGAAAAGTTTGAGTTGTTGACTTGGAGAACGAAAGGGGCGGGAGCACCCGGGGGACATAAGAACTGTCAGACTTGTTTTTTTGGGCATGGCTTGCGGACAAGAACAGGCGTTGGATTAACCGGCCGGTTGCTCCTAGTTACCCGAAACGTGGTAATAGGGATCATGATAATCACGTATAGCCACACAGACGAGAAGCGACAAGCGTTGGGTAACCGTGACTGTACGCCTACTTTTAGAGACTTTTTATCTCGGCAATCCAGTAAAGAGAGGCGCGGACGTGATACTGACCTTTCTCCTGTTGGACTTTAATGTTTGTTAGACCACGCCATCGGGTCGCACCATACGGAACCCAAGTCACCCTTCGGTTCCTTACTGCCGAGCTCCTGTGATACCCTGGCACAACATCACACATAAAGTTCCAGGCATGATACAGACATTTAATATAGAACAAGATATCCGCATCTCCCACACAAGCCTGTCCCGCAATGGACGAGCAAGTGACACGAGGGATGAGTGGTTAGCGTGCGCCCAGACAGGTATCTGTGTCTTTGTCACGTTGCTTTTGTCTTTCAGCTGTGGTTGTTTGGTTTCCTTTGCCTCAGTCATTCTCCGTCTGACCCAAGACAGTTGCATTGGCCGGAAACAGTTGCAAACGGATACCCGAGACCGCTGGACGGCCAATTCTCTCAGACAACGGGAGAGGTAGTTGTGTTCAGAACAAAGCTTGATTAAGAAAGTTACCTTAGGTAAACAGAAATACAATGCTTATTAGAGATAAAACGCCCAATCGCCCCCAATCAATCCTGTTCTCCCCCATACTCACTCACCTCAATGACCAAGAGCATCAACATCCTCCGAAAATCCAGTCACCATGGTATACCCAAACTTAGCCGCCTCCACACATCTCTCCGCCAGTTCCTTATGCCCCAAAGCAGTATACGCCTCCGCCAGCCTCCTCAACGAAGCAACCACATGGACCGCCATCAAGCTCACCTCCCCGCTCCTCGTATAAATCTCTTTCGGATCCCAGTCGACCGTCAACTTGGCGGGATCCTCATCCTTGGGCACCGCATTAAACCCAAAGTTCCTCAACACCTTCAACGAGTACTTGGCCACCTTCCCCCACTGCTTCTTGGCCCTGTGCGCATCCACCAACCAGTTGCACGGATAAACCAGCGTCAACCTCGGCAGCGCCAAAGTGTCATACACTTCCGTCTCATGCAACTCCTCGAGTTGCCTCATCATCTTATCGACCGTCCTGATCGTCGCATCGGGCACGATGATGGGCGTCCCCTTGTTATTGCCACTGGACGGTTTCTTATCCAGGAACTTTTCCAGCGCCAGCATCGCTTCCTTCCTCTTCTTCAACTTTTCTTCTGAGGACTTCCGCTCACCCTCGCACAACCCACACCGACACCCGAACCCCCAACCCTCCGCAAACTCCTTGTTGCGCACATCCACCAGCGTCTTGACAGGCACGTACTGCTGGAACAGCTCTTCGCCCTCCTTTACATCCCTCGTAGCGCGGCAGATGAGCATGTCACCCACAAACGACCGCATGGTGTTGGGCACGCAGCTGTGGTTCATCAAACTGGAATGCGCCCATAGTCCCTTCGCCATGCGCGCCGAGTTGTAAGTAGGCTTGGTGTCGTCGTAGGTGGAAAGCGGGGAGGAGAAGCAGTTCTTGGTGCGAATGCCTTCGACCATGAACACGTCCACGACGGGGACGCCGTCGACTAGCGTGCCTTCGGCACCGGTGCGCTCGTAGGGGAGCTGACCGGGAAAGAGCTTGAGCACGGTATCAGCTAGCGAGGGGTTATCGCACAACTGCCGGACCATGACCGTGTACAGCGCCGCTGAGGCGCGGACGGGGTCGTACTGGTTGGGCATCAACGTGGCTTTTTCGACGTAGACCAGGTCGCCGGCTTTCAAGAGGCGAGTGGCGAAGAGGCCGCGGCCGTGGTGGCCGGAGTCGGCGACGCGAGTGTTGGCGAGGAAGGAGCCGGCGTCGATGTGAACGTTGGTGGGGGAGAGGGAGGCGTGCATGGCTGCGAAGTCGTAGTTGCCGGATTCTTCTTCATTGACGCGGGCTTGTACCCGCTCGTATTCTTTTTGCACGCTGGCGCCTTTGGCGTTGAGTTTGAGGGCTTCTTCGAAGTAGGAATTGCTGGTGGCGTACTCGCACAGACCGTAGGCAGCGCGACCGGCATTGTAGTAGGCTTTCCAGTCGGTGGGAGCACCAGTGCGGGAGGCGAGGGCGTCGGATTTGGCGGCGTCGTAGCGACCTAGGAGGAGGTTGACGCCGGCGCGCTTGGTGTAGACTGGAGCTTTGGTGGTCTCGTCTTCTAAGCCTTCTAATGCTTCTGTGTAGCTATTGCGGGACTTGCGTAAGTTGAAACCCTCGAAACCACTGCTGAAAGGGGCAACTCACCAAAAGACAGCCGTAGGGAAATCTCGTTCCAAAAATGCCTGATCACCCGCCGTCCTCCACTCGGCAGCTGACTTCAACAGCGGTCCCAATCTCAATGGCTCTGGGATGATGGAATCTGTAAACCTCAACAGAATAACATCTGACGGGTGATCGACGCAGATCATGAAATCGTGCTCCGCGCCATTTTGGACGTAATAAGGCTCCTTGACGGCAACGATACAGCCCTCGGGAACGCCCGACAGGATCGCCGAGTCGCCTTGGTTGTAGATGGCAAGTTTGTCGACATTACCCCACTGGTCCTCAACGATACTGACCGCACCGGCGCCAATGTAGGGCGGGCTGACTACTTTGACGATAAGACCCTTGCCTCGGTGATGTGTTTCTACGCTGAGTTCACTTAGTGGGATCTGGGTATAGTGTTAGTCGAATCTCACCGAAAGAACAAGGCCTGAGTGAAACAACATACGATCTCGAGATCTCTGATGGACTTGGTAGAAGCAGGGTATGCTTCCGCCAAGTTTGGTTGCTTCACTGCCCTGGGGCCATTGGGAGTTTGAGTGGCATTTTGTGTTTTGATGTGTCCCTCATGTGTCTTGAAAAGCTGCTCCTTTGTGAGCTTCTTGGTCGGAATTGTTCCTGCGAGTGGACTTTTTTGGGGATCGGGAGTGATGGTCTTCTGCTTGGCAGTGACGGCCATGTTGAAAAGAGATTAGGGTATGGATGAAAACAAGACGGGTATATTAACAGGCAAAGAGGTTGTATGAATCACTCAAGTCTACAATATCAAGAATCATGAAGCTTATAACATTATCAACAAGTGTCCGTTCGCAGTCATGTGCTCAGACTGTTGTCGAATGGTCCCTGAATTTGAGAAAAGGTGGCATTCTCGGAGGACAAGCAGCCGCGTATACTATATTTGACCTAGCGGGATTATGCATATTAGCCGGGGGTCCGGTGCCTTTGTGGAGATGTCAGTTGTGGTGTTGCCGGTCCGGGGGAGGGGCCGAATGCGACGCCAATCGGAGTGCCTGGCCGCAGTAGTTGCAGCTGCTCATGGAATTGTCGGGACAAGATCCGCTGAAGCTAGCGATGAGGGGGACGGCCTTGGCACAGTGGTGCGACAATGAGTTGCTCAAGAATGGGATCATGACGATGGCGAATGAAGACGGTATACGGATTGATATGTGTTGCAGTTATATGAGCTGGATTGATGAGATATAGAAACCGGCCCTTGTTACTCCTGATAATCATGTGTATCGTGAAAGAGACCCAAACTGGCAAATCCTCGTGTGGTCATATCCGCCCATACATTACGCTGTCATGCGGCGCTGTTCACAAATGGTCATTCTCATGCCGTCTTCTTTGCAGCTTCCTCCACTGCCTTCTTTGCTGCTTTCTCCTCCTCCTTTTTCAATCTTTCGGCCTCTTCCTTTGCAAGCTCCGCGTCCCTGGCCATCTTTTGATGGTACTTGAGGGACACTCTGCGTCTGTAGTCGTCTTGAGATCGTAGACACAGCTTCAACCAACCCTTGGGCTCTGCTACCTCCCAGACCCGCGTGGGCATCCTCACGACTGTCTCCCTATACAAGCAATCCGTCTCAAAGCGCCAGCTGCAAAGGACAGCACGAAGCATGCCACCTTCCTTGCCGCAAAGAAGAGCTACAGTCGGTGGCCTCTCAGCAGCAAAGATAGAGACCGTGAGCTCGCCCATATCAACCAGGGTGAAGAGCTGGTGTTTATTTGACGGCAATAGCTTCTCCTTCATAAGGTCGTGAAGGGCGGAGTCTGGATTCTTGATCCACGACGGCTCCCTGCCTCGCCTCTCATTAATCTCCCGATTGTTTCTGCTGAACGGAGAAGCGGATGGCGCATACGTCAGTCGACCCTCCACGTTTCCGAAAATGATCTTTTCCAGTTGCGCGATAGGCATGACTCCCTCAAATCCTACCAGATTTGGAGTGCTCTTCAGTACGGTACCGCCAAAGAGCCGTCTCACCGAGAATGGCGAAGGTGCAGAGAACAACAGACCCAGAAAGAAGAAGCCAGCAACAACCCATCCCACATACGACTTGCCAGTTTCGCCGTCGGTTAGGGCAAAGCCGGCAAAGTATGGGATGTAGCCCAGTGTCATTTGAATACCAAAAGATAACCACCAGATGCCGAAGGCCAGGAAGAATACCGCCATCATCTTTCCAAAGCCCATATCGCGCTGGACAGTTGCTCGGGGAAAGTCCTTCCATCTGATGTGGATCGCACGGCAAGAGTCCAAGATGACAGTCTCGTCTTCGTGTGCCACACCAACCACTTGGCACTGCGGCGTGATGTGGTGGAGGAAGGTTCCATACTCATCACGTTCAGAGAGAGTCTCAAAGATATCTTTGGTTGATGGCTGAGGAAGTAAGCAAAGCATCCTCTCCACCAGCTCATCACTATCATTGCCAAGCGACAGGCGAGCGAGGTTCTGGAACACAGTTGTCCCGTCGTCTGAGCGCTCAATCCGGTAGTGAAGAAAGCCCATGACGGCGTAGGCAAGATCTGAGCCGGTAAACTCCTTACGACTCTTGGTACTCAGCGCAGTAATCGTTGCCGGAAGAAGCTCCAGGCGTGAAAGTGTCAGCACGTTAGCATAGTGCTCGGCCAAGATGCGCACAGCCTGACTGTTTTCCCAGTACTCGCTGTCTGGTTGACGCCAGAACGAGGCTGTCATTTCAACCTTTCTAATCTTTTTGGTGACGAGTTGACCCTTTGCATCCTCGAAGCAGTAAGTTACGTAATCTCCCGGGGCAAGCAGACCCTCCATGAGCGTCCACATGCGGCCTCCCCAATCAAGACGCTCTTGGGTTCCGTCCTTGGGCATCATGAGGCAGACACCAGACGATCCTCGGACGATATCGCAAAGTGTGTAGACGTCGTAATCGGTGTCGGCTTTTGTATTCTTGTTGACGAGCTCACGGTCCATCCAGTAACAATCAAAGCCCTCGCGGTCGGCAATTCTGCGCGCCAAATGGTGAGCCTTTTCAGCGCCTGCTTCATCTGGGAACATACCCCACATGTAACTGATGAAAATGTATCTCCGCATAGAGTTGTCGAATGTATCGCCATCGATGGTTGTCCATTTGCCGTTCACCTTCGCATACAGTCGCCGGGGGCGTTGAGCACGTTTTGCAACATTGAGTGCCGAATTGTAGCCGACGTTATGCCACTCATCAGTACCAGGAGCCATGTCCAACGCGTTTACAGCGTACTTGGGCCATCTCCAGTAATACCCAGGGTAGTCAGTGTAGGTATCGGTCACCTCGTCATCGTCATCGTATCTACCGAGAAATGGAATGGCAAGCATGATTTGCAGAGGGATGGCAACGACAAAGATTCGGAAAGTGCCCTTCGTCTTAGCCCAAAACCCTTGATTTTTGAAGGGAGACAGTGCCCATTCAGACATCGCCAGGACAGCGGGCACGTTGCCCGTGACTTTGGTCCTGATCCAGTCGCCCCTCCTGTTGTTGCGGGTTTTGATAACAGAATCAGTTGCCTGGACAATCAGTCTTCGAGGGGTGAACCGGGTTGGACTGAGGTAGACGGCCACGTCGAGGAACTTGCGGGTTTGCTGGTGAAACTGGTTGACGTAGACGAGCTTGCCATCGACCTTGTGTACCTTTCCGAGGTCTTCAATATCCTCCTCCTCGGCAGTCCCAACACGATAGACGATCTTGCTCTCGCCGCTATGTCCTTCGTTGGGTAGGTAGACGCGACGGAAATTTCTGAGGCCCGACTTGCCGCTGAACCTGTCCTTGAGGTTTTCTTCGAACTTTTGCCTGTAGTCCTTGGACCAAGGCCACCATCGTTTCCGCTTCTTCACGTCCTTCTTCACGCCTGACTGCGGATCCGCCTGCGGCGAAGGCATTTGCCGGGTAATGACATCCTCTGAGGCAAGAAGGGGCTGCTGCTTGTGCTGCGAATCTGGGCTTTGCACTTCTTGAATCGAGTCGGGCGCCGACTGCTGGTCATAGGAGGGGTTGTACTGGGAATAGGCGGCGAGGTGAGGGCGCGATAATTGTTGTGGTTGTTCTTGTTGTTGCTGCTGCTGCTGCTGCTGCTGCTGCTGCCAGTAGAACTGGGCGTTCATTGCAGTGGGATCGGGCGTCCAACCAGGCTGCTGTAGGAGGTGCGGCGGATAGTAGGCTTGTTGATGGTTCACCGAGGGGTTGCCCGCTTGGCTCGCATGTTGTGCAATGTAATACTGTTGTTGCGCAATAAGAGTGGCAGGGTCGAAGCCGTATTGCTGTGGCGGATAGCCAAAAGCTTGCGAGAGCTCTGGGGCATTGTCAACCGTACCCGGCTGGGGTAGCGGTTGAGGAGGTGGGTAGGGGTAGACGTGCCCCTGATTGTCGTTGTCCTGAGAGTCACCGCCGGCATTGGCTGGTGACTGTTCCTGGGAGTGGGCATGCGAAGAATCGGCCATCTCGACTGGTAATCGGTCGATGAAAGAGGAGGGATTGAAATCACCCAAGGAAGACAGCTTGGAGTCAATGGCTAAGGAACAGAGAGTCCAGGACCTGGAGGACCGACAGAACCCATGATATCTATAAGTCCCGTCGGCGTTCTTGTTGAGAGCAGCCTGGCCCCATCCTAGTGCTTACGCCTGCACCCTTCGGTGCGGCTTGAAGCCTCAAATTCTCACCCCCTCTGCATTGGACAGGGTGCCAGATAGGAAAAGTATGGGGTTTTTCTTGCGCCCATTTGAAAGCCAAAAGGCGTCCAGGCCGTCAACCACATGGTTTGGTGGGTTCGTAAGACAATAGTGGCTGCCTAGAGCTGACGCCCCCATCACCACATTGGGTATGCTAGTCATACTGGCGTGCACACGTTAATTTCCACTGAACAAGGCGACAAATCAGGGGTTTCAGCTGTTGTTTATACTTGTATGCCAAGTCCCCCACAGGTCAGACAATGCGACACAATCTGGCAACGAAAGACGATAGACAGGGCTGCAGGATGCTAATCAACTTTAGCTTGATGAATTCTGTAGTATACGAGTACAGAAAGAGTGTGATGAGGCAGCAAAGTGCGGTAGCGAAGTCCACTGCCGACAGTGTTAAGAGCGTCGCTATCAGGCACTCTTGGCAGGCCTTCTCATGATGGCGGTGCGGAAGCATCCCTTGGCGAGTGACCCAGCGAACTCGAGCGCCACGAGTTCTCCCCAGTTCTGACCTTCGCGTTTGACGGCGCCGAACAAATCGAAGACGGGGAAGTCGAAGACATCGATGGGTTCAAACCCGAATTGTCGGTAGAGATTGTAACCAAAGGGCGATGACTCGAGAAACAGTGGCAGGCTCAGTTCGTCAGCCAGGGTGGTACCCCAGTGTAGGAGGGCCTTTCCGGCCCCAGCCTTTGACGATTCGTCTGACAGACAAGAGTCCCAAGAACTGACAGGACTTTGAGTTAGAAAAGCGGCCACCGAAAAGGAAACATGTTAGCTGTGCCAAACTTACCTAGCCCGGGATCACCCTTCATGTGCTCTCGCCGCTTCTTGTGCAACCCGCCGATAAAGGCGTTGAAGACCTGCACATTGCAACCTTCTCCCAGCTGCTCTTGTGTCCTTGGTTCCTCCTTGGCATTCCACTCTTCCTCGGCACGCGGATTTCGGAACAGGGTCCATTCGGAAAAGGCAACAATCTCGCCAGGACCATCAGAACCCTCTGGTAGCAGCTCTGCCACCATGATGAGCTTTTCTCCCTCGTTGGGACGAGGGGGGGTGGGCGAGAAGAGCCTGGCAGCGAACTTTCTTCTCGAATCGTCCGATACGCCGTTAGGATACATAAGTTGGTGCATTGCGTCGACGGAAAAGCCATCATGTATGGTATTCGTGATGGCCTCGGCGTCGGCGGGCACGGCCTCGCGAACGCGGATGCGGGGGTTGAGAGCGACCATCATGGTGGCGTTGAGAATAACTAGCGTCGTCTTTGGAAAGGTGTACGGTCTGGTACAGAGTAGCCGAGAAGGGTATCGATGGGTTG